AGCGGCGTTATTTGAAACCGCTTCAATGGCGTCGAATTCCGATTATATCGAGTTCCTGCACGGTCGACGTCTGGGCTCTGCTGAGTGCAGATATTATAAAATTATCAGATTTTAACTGTTTCTGATGGTCAAAATGACAGCATCATAGGCTCATTTGGGCAAGGAGAAATTGCCATTAAATTAGATGTGCTTTAAAAATTGCATAGCTTTGCAGAACTTAATGTATTTATGATTTAATAAAGCGTTGCTTCTTTGAAATCTAATATAAGAATAATGCTAAACATATTTATTTATTGAGCTCTTCCGGGTTTTGAGGATGCCGTAGCAGCGTCCCTTAGAACATAGTTTCGCCTAAGGGGCAAAATTCTTTCTACGTTCTTTAGCAAACCATCAACAAAATCAGTGTTATCTTCTTGAATACATAGCGTATATTCGAGAAGATAACAGTCATAACACATACATTTAGGAAGTGAGCCTCCTCCCTGCCATCAAGCTCTCTGCTTTGCAGTTTATTCCAAGAAAAATTAAGTCTAATGTTCAATCGCCAGATAAATCGCCTTTAAAAATTGGCAGTGTTCGATCAGTTTGCCCTGTAGCTCCCATATAAGATAATATGCTTGAATTTAACTATGTTTCGTTAAAAAGTGCGAAAACAATTAGCAATATTTACAATAGTTCAGAAGCTTTATTCGAACAAAATATTAACTCACTAAACTTTTCTGAAGAATAAAACTATTACAACTTGAAGTTGTTCGGAACGAACTATTCGTCTACGTAAATAGGAACAGGGTCTACACTGATGAACCGGAGGCCGTTCAATCACATAATGTCTATATATAGGAAGAGAAGAAGAAGAAGCTAATACTTTAAACGAAGAAGTTTTCAACGTGCGTGTTCTATCGTAATGGAGGTAAAATGTAAAGTTGCTTGTACACGGGGATAGTGCAGACGGCTAGTAAATCTGGCCAGTGTCGGTCGCTTGGTGACTATCCGGCTAGTAAGCCTGTACACACGAGGAGAGTATAAGGTGCCGCTATCTTCTCGTTCGCGCCCGCCAGTGCGTCATTAGAAGCCGTCGAGTGAGGTCTGTGAAGATGGATAGTGCGATCACCTTTATCAACTCTATTCTGTTTGACGTTTTTATACTCTTTGTTCTAGCCTTTAAAAATGCAACGTCGGGAACAGCTAAACCCTGACTAATAAAATTTTCCAGGTTCAAAATACTCGTTTCTCTCTTCATTTTGTTGTAGTAACCGTCATGGCAAACATTCCACTTTAATTCATATTTTTGAATATTTCAATGAATAATTGAATATCGTCTGGAATCCACTTTGTTGGATTCCTCTTAGAAACATTATCAGAATAAAACTATTACAACTTGAAGTTGTTCGGAAAGAACTATTCGTCTACGTAAATAAGAACAGGATCTACACTGATGAACCGGAGGCCGTTCAAAATATTGTATTTCAATCACATAATGTCCATAGGAAGAGAAGACGAAGCTAATTTGCTTTCAGCGAAGAAGAAGTTTTCAACGTGCATGTTCTATCGTAATGGAGGTAGAGTGTAAGCAAAGGTTTTCGAGTGACCGCGCATGTTTCCGGAAATACGAGTGGCAGAAGATGATGCTGACAAGAAAAATGACTTATCACGTCGATAATTAGAATGTGTTCTGAAATTCAAAATACAGGGAAAGGCTACCTCTCGAAAAGAATTACAATATCAGTAATTTAGTTCAGAGCCAAGCAGTACATGATGCCCAAATGTAACGGAAATGAGTATGGGGAAATTATTTCGGTTAACAAACGTTTCAGGTAACTTCCAACTTTATATTTTCTAACCGATGTTATCCGGCCTATGATGAAGCAAATTGTAGACGAAAATCGCCCGATTTAGGCGCTGTCATTGACAATGTGCTGGCATGAGAGCGGCATTTCCACTCATTGTGCAAACTTGCTCTCGCGCTTGAATAGGTAAAAACTCCTTAAATAAATTTAAATTATGATAGATCAAGCAATGCAAGAAGTGGTTTGCGTTATCCATTTAAGTGTACTATATATAACCTATGTATAACCTTTTATATTATTGTGTGAGTCACAAGTGTATCTATAACCGATATGATGTACCTTGTATTGTTATCGTATTCCTTAGAAGAGTTCCTATACCGCATATTAAGCACCGTTCTTATGTTTCAATCAATTTATAAGTTTAACAATAATCTCTTATATCAGGGAATTGCTTCAGCCAAAGACTCATTTTGTCAAATCAAATAGTCCTGTAAGAATTTGTACTACCTTTCAATCTTAGATGAATTATTGAATGTTGACGCCTCGTAAATAACCAGTCGCTCGCAGACAATCAATAAATCCAATTAGTAAATTGACATATTTGGGTTTAACAATGTTTAACAGCAGCCGCTCCTGCTGTGAATTAATGCCACAGTTTGCTGGAGGCGACGTAAATAATGAATAGACGGATACATCATTTGATGACGTTGTGCTGTAAGATTAAATAATTGTTCAGGTAATTGTTCCTGAGACCATCAATAGAAATGGAATAAACAGTAGAAAAGCTTCAGTTTTCTTCACCAAGATTTGATCGCGAATATTAAAAGTTTAATAACGCGTGCCAAATGCGGTAGCTGTCTTGTACGTGTCTGTGTTTCTGTACAGTAATTTTGAGGGGAAAGCATCATCAGAGGGGAAACGTGTCGGGTTTCTCGACCCACTTCACATCATCCCACTATTCGAACCTCATCCTCTATTCATCCCACCTTCTACGCCTCACATAACCCCTCACATCTCATCACACCTCATCTTCTCTTCATGCATGCCACCCTCTACACCTCAAATCACCCCTCACATCTCATCTTCTCTTCATGCCACCTTCTACACCTCACATCATCCCTCACACCTCATCACACTTCATTTGCCCAGCATTCCCCTACGCTGCAACTCACATCATCCCTCATATCTCATCACACCTCATCTTCTCTTCATACCACTTTCTACACCTCAAATCACCCCTCACACCTCATTTTCTTCACCAAGATTTGATCGCGAATATTAAAAGTTTAATAACGCGTGCCAAATGCGGTAGCTGTCTTGTACGTGTCTGTGTTTCTGTACAGTTTTTTTGAGGGGAAAGCATCATCAGAGGGGAAACGTGTCGTGTTTCTCGACCCACTTCACATCATCCCACTATTCGAACCTCATCCTCTCTTCATGCCACCTTCTACACCTCACATCATCCCTCACCCCTCACACGTCCGCTTTTCGTCCTGCCCCTCGCACCGTCAGGCCCAGCTCCACCCTGTCTCTCGGCACCGCAAGCCCCACACATAAAGACCGCTTACCAAGAGCAGACAATGCAAGTCCTCAACTCTGACCCAGTCCAAAGACAGATTTGAAGACGTTCGCACAGTTTCGTTCTCTAGACAGCACTTGTTGCTGTTCAGTACGTAGTACTTCATCATCTAGTCAGTGTTTCGATGCCGCTTTCCCCTCGTTATATGCAACTTTATAGCGCCACGATAAGCATGTTATCCTTCCACGCAGGTAGATAACATTGCAATAAAGGGTCATATTGATACAGATATGATATTTTCAGTTTTACATTAAACCACAATAATCAATATGTTAAACTAAGTGGTAAGTTACACTCTATTTGAGGACCAATTGTCTATAGAGTCCAGGGGTCTCCAAACTACGGTCCGCTGGCCGGATCCGGCCCGCGGCCAGGTTCCATCCGGCCCGCCGAGGATATCTCGCGTTTCAACATAATGTGTACAAAAATCGAGCATGGCGTTTATTTCTGTTTACGCATGAAATAAAATCAGTTAATGGGCCTGATCGGCTCGCTAAGCTTTTAGAAAGCTTGCTCAATTGGCCATCGGTGGAAATAGTTTGGAGGCCCCTGCGTCTAGAGGACGGTTATAATAAGCTCATGCCCAGTGAAATAGGCGGAATCACATCAATGATGAATCAATTAAAGTAATAACAGCTAAAAAATAATTAAAACAAAGGCTCATCATAGCCAAGAATAGTCTTTTATATCCTATTTCCATCACTTAACTACTGCTCGATTTACCATCGTTCAACGATAATCTTAAGTGAAGGCTGTATGCCTGTATAACAGTATAGTAACAATCAAGCGTCAAAAGGCTGTGCCATAGAATGCTTCATCGGCTAAACACTATGAAACTTCGTTTTTTTACCTCAGCGAAAACTCAAGCAAAATTTCCGTGCCAATGGATTATTTCTATGATCATTTCATGAAGTCAAACTTGACATACTCTTGCCTTGCCAAAAGTTGATTTCAGTCAACACCAATGAGCCAAAAGTTGCTGAGTTTTTATGGTGTTGGCTGAAATCACGATTAGGTACGAATTCTCTGCACATAATATCTGGATTATGGACGAAACTGGAACGAAGTTTTTCTCTGATCAACTAAATATATTTTTCCTAGTCAAGCATATATTTTTTCATCTCAAGAACGAATTTTTTACCGCTAGGATATATTTTTCAAGTCAAGTATATACATTTTTATGTCAATGAAATATTTTTCTTCGCGTCAGTGATAGATTTTTTAAGCCAAAAGTATTTTTTCAAGCTTAGGATATTATTTTTTGAGTTGTTAATAAATGAATGAATGTCATATTTTTATTACATTTTTCTTATTTTTAACTGTGTAGTGTTGTTTTATCATTTGTAAACGAAAAAATATGCAATTGTGGTAAAGGGACCATGGGCGGGCGCCTTGCCCCAAGCCCATGGGCCCTTTGCCCCAAGGGTGGGGCAATGGGCCCATTTTGACACTTTTTACAAAACGGTGTTTCATTTAAAAAGTAAATAACTCTATAGGCGTCTAATTCACATCATACATTCCTCATTAGTTGTACCTTTAAACAAAACAAAGAACCACCTCGTGTCAATTAAAATTTCATCAAAAATTTAGTTTAAAAAAAGTGGGGGGCGCGCTGCCCCACGTTGCCCTATCGATAAACAGCACGACACGTGAACCCCTAGAATAATATTCAGAGCAGATGGCATAGTGAATAATTTAAAGATAATTTTATAGCTTATGAAGGAGTTTTGGATAGAAGTAAAGTAGCCAGTCACAAAAGTCTAAGAGTTTTGCCCTCGCTTTCGTTTTCCATCTCTTCGAAATTCACTTTCTCGTTGTCGCATAGATCAGCGGCTGCGCGGTCTCTGCGTCCAAACCTGTATTTATTATTAGTTATAAAGCTGTATGATAATGTAAACATATTTTCACTTTATAATGACAATAGATTCACTGCAGTGACATCAACAACAGAAAGTTACGATCGAGTGATAAAATCGAGGCATAAAAAATATCGTGTAAATAATATGTGTTCATAAATATGGTGAAAATTCGGACGCAACATAGGATATTTTTATTGCTTTCTTTTTTTGACATCTTGAAGTAAGCAGAACATGGCTTGATATTTTGATCTGTTGGTTGCACCAATCAATCAATATTTTCTTCCACAAATCAGTTTGAATGTTCGGTGTTAAAAAGATTAAATGTTCGGACATTAAAGGAAAATATCGCATTAATTATGTCATTTACTATTCGTAAATATATGATTGTTTATGCATAACAAGAAATGATTAAATAATAATTTGTGCATAAACTGACTCACTTGCAGATATTCTTGGGCATCGAGATGAAGGAGATGAGCTGCCCCCAAATGTAAGCTGCCGCCCCCAACAGGATGCAATAAAACCACAACTTCGCAGACAAGGGCGTCGTCGAGAACACAGAGCCGCCGAATTGTAGGATGAGGATCTGCAAAATAATATACCATGCAAATAAAGACTTTCATTTTTATTATTACCTGGAATTATTTCTCATTGACACACTCTAAAATTGTGAAATTTCTCTCATGATTGAGATATACTCACAGTCTCATATCCTTATAGAATTGTTTCTCGCGAAGAAGTTCTAATTAAATTGTGAGTTTCATTTATTCAGAACAGAACTTCATACATCATTTAGATTAGTTATCCAACAATCATTTATTTCACAATGTCGTGCCACGTTCACAGCGACTATTTGAACGATTAAAATTTAAATGAATACATCATAAGGCACATTTAAAAGTTCACACTTCACGAAATATTAGATGAGTTAAATTGAAAATGCAGCCAAAACATCCTTTAATTAGTAATAAGAAAATGAAATATAAGTAGAATAATATTTAGGAGTCATTTTTAAACACTAGTCTTTATATTACTTGAATAGTTAGAGTGCAGATCCAAATAAATGGGAAGATGAGTTGCGGCAAGATACAACTGAACATATTTCGCAGGCCGTTTGTCATGCGAGCGTTGAGTTCGTTGAAAAGATTCATCAAGACGAACGTATTGAAAATGGCCGTGAAATGAACGCGGGAAGCATTGATGTCATCAGGGTCAGCACATGTATCCATGCAGAATATCCCGTCTCCTGCGATGGAACAAATTTAGTACAAACTGAATGCTGATACGTAATATAATTCATAGGCTTATATCTGATTCCTCACACAACCCTTTCTATGATATGTCATTCTCAGTAAATTTCTGCGCTTAAATAGAGTTCAAAAACATAATTTCGAAGCATATATAAAAAATAATTTTTGTTGTTGAAGATACTAACCGTAAAATAGCAGTATGAGAAGTACGGAGATCATGAAAAGAGCTTGACCCAAGATGTTTTTCATCATAGTCCTTGAAATGAGAGCCTTCCAGCGACCATCAGGTTTACGCAACATAACATCCATGTTGGGTTGTTCCGTGACCAGGGCAATGGCGGCCAGTGTACTCATGACGAAATTAACCCACAATAATTGTGGAATCTGCAACAATGTGTAGAACCTGACAACTTAATCAGTTATTGAAGACTATAGTTGAAGAATCCGAAATTGCGTTACGCCGATTAAAGAACAAGTTAGTTAATTGAGAATCACATTCAAATCGACATAGTAGTAGAATATTTCTTTGCATTCACCATTATGCAAAACAATATGAAGTAATTGCAAAAGTAAAAAATAATTTATTAAATTTTTTAAGTTTTCTTAAATAAGTGAATGTATTTCAAGTTTAAATAGTCTCCTTGGCTATAAAAATGTTTGCTATGAACACAACTCGCCTCGAGGGGACAAGCGTTGATGGCACAAGCACTGACAAAGTCCACGACCACGGCCACGACGTTGACGGTCAGTTGGTACTGCAGGAACTTGGCGATGGAATCATGGATGTTACGGCCCCACATCACAGCCTTCACGATGGAGGAAAAGTTGTCATCCCTGAGGATGATGTCAGAGGCTTCCTTAGCCACGTCTGTGCCGTCGGTTCCCTACGGACGAGAGTTTGGACATTTTTATGAGACAATACTTGGAGAAAACGCTCCTTCATTACTTCAAAAATTTGTTAGCATTAGAACCATCTTCGCAGGCAAATCAATGGGACTTAGTAAAAAGTTCTCACTGTGAATATCAGTATTTTGACATCTTTTTTACAGACTGATACTAATATGACTACATTTGCAACAATTGGAGCCTACCATGGCAAAGCCGATATCAGCGGTTCTGAGAGCAGGACAATCGCAGATGCTGTCACCTGTGACAGCGACCACCTCCCTGTCAACGCCCTCCCTCCTGTCATCACCCTCCCTCCTGTCAGCGCCCACTCTCCTGTCGACGCCCACTTCACTCTCCTTGAGGGCCTTCACTAAGGAGTGGGCGTCAGCGGATGAAGAGCTCACCAGCACGCGCAGGTTAGGCGTCACTTGGTCAAGGTGCAACTGAGCCACAACACAACTTTAAGTCATGAGGAAAAATTAATTGGTCATACTGCCCAAATAATGACACTTTTTCTTACCCAAAGAACGAGCAGGAAGCGGACGTTCGCTCAGAAAAAGCATATTGTGTCATTACCCAAATGATGACACACTTTCGTACCCACAGCTCGAACAATGAGCCAATGTAGCACTGATACGCCCTTATTTAACCGGGCCAAACTGGGTCAAGTTGCAGAGGCAAAAAATGCATCGATATTTTCACAGTGAGCCATTGAAGATCATAGCGATGACCCACTTCTATAGTGATGGGAAAAAGTGTTTAAATTGAATACCGAATTAGTTCCTTAGTAGCAAAATGGCACTTATAATCTAAACTGAGTTCTAAAATTTACTTTTATAATGTTATTGACTATAGTTCACTGCATAAATGCTACTAAGGTAAAAGTGATCATGCATCAACGTCAATCAAATATCTACTTACGAAAACATTTCTTTCTTAAAATCAAATGTAAACTGTGTGAATAATTAACCTTTCCATCGTTATCTTTTATTCTTGCGTTGAACTCCGTGGCCTCAATGATGAGGGAGTCGCCATCGGGCGTGATGATGCCACATTCAGAAGCGATGGATCGCGCCACGTTGATGTTAAGTAGTCAATGGTACGCGTGCCATTACGGACGGAGGACGCATATCTCGATTGCATTAGGCACATCGGGAAGCAATGGACTCTCAATACCAAGAACACAGATACAAGTCAGGTTGCTGATGATGAGGTTCTCATCTTCCCAGTTGGGTTCCGAATCGAAATGAACCTGATTGACTTCAGCGTGGCCGGGGACGAAGTCTTTATAAGCTAGCGAAATGGTGCGTAGGCCTTCGCATGCCATGGGTTCAATGACGTCTTTGATGAAGAGTTCTTTTTTATTTTCTGTGAAGATTTCTATTTGACCGTCCTTGCCGTATATGAAGGAGCACCTGTGAACGAATACAGCTATTTTTGAGACTATCATATTTTCGGAATAATCCTATATAAAATCTTTAATCCTTATATTAATTTATCTAATACTACGCCTACCATTTTTATTGCGTGAAATGTATTGGATTAAAAAAAGATAAGTAAGATATATGTATATGAAAAGTCCCACATACTTTTTCGTGACCATTTCAGAGTCGCCTCTTGTATAGATCCTGAATCCACCCTCTTTTTGGGGAACAACTGTGCTCATGATATTTCGCGTGGCGGAGACATGGTAGACTTTGCATTTGCGTTCTTCAGGGAACTCGTCCCGGTAGGCCTGGTAACTCTTACCCAAGTCTGATACAAAGTCCAACAGCGCGCAATCCGTACTGTTGCCGACCTGTTAAAAAATTTCATCGCCGTGCAGAAGGTAGGTTCAAATAGCAGAACTTGTAGTTATTACATTACGAATCGAAATTTAATAAAATTTAAATTAATTTTAAAATTCCACGATGTAAATTCCTATTGAATTTGAAAGAAATAGCTTGCGTGGCAATCAGGGGAATTTTTACCATACGAAGGAACTTTTGGAATACGAGTTCTCTTTTGAGTGTCCATAGCAAGACTTGGGAACCATAAAAGAAAAAAATCATAATGAGGCAGTATACCAATTAAGGCACTCTGATTTGTGTTCCAATTTTTATCGTTATCGGAAAATGCGCATCTGAAATATTACATAGATATATCTTGATGGGGGTAATCAGATTACCTCTGATTTGTGTTCCAATTTTTATCGTTCATTTCGGAAAATGCGCATCTGAAATATTACATAGATATATCTTGATGGGGGTAATCAGATTACAACTCATCTTATTATTAGGTTCTTCCTTATTTTTTTCATATATGCAATGAAAGAGAGTCCCTGTTATGTCATTGCGAACCAACGTACCAGTTTGTGTAGGTCATCAGGGTTCGCCTCCGGAATAATTCGGAACGTATAGGCCGAATTAATCGAGATCGCCGCCACTAGGGCCTCAGCCAGGTTGCTGTTCAGGTCGTCGTAGCTGAATGAACGATAGATAAAAACAACTTATTTAATAAATAAATTAATAATTAAGAAACTATTCAAATGACAGAAAAATAATTTAACCATTACAAGTTGCGAATGCAGCAAATTTTACCCCGGATACGTCTAACTGAAGTGAAATACTATAGTATAGATGAACAAGCAATAAAGATATAATTGGAGTTGCATTGGATGTAATCGAATATCCGTGTAGTTTATAATGAAAACAACAAATTCGTCTTCGAAACAAATAGAATAATAAAGAATTTCTCTGATAAATGAAGTGTTCGATGACTGGGGGCATGTGGCCCCACGCAGCAATTTACGGATGGGGGCATATGGCCTCACGCAGCAAGTTACGGATGGGGGCATATGGCCTCACGCAGCAAGTTACGGATGGAGGCACATGGCCTCACGCAGCAAGTTACGGATGGAGGCACATGGCCTCACGCAGCAAGTTACGGATGGAGGCACATGGCCCCACGCAGCAAGTTACGGATGGGGGCATATGGCCCCACGCAGCAAGTTAATGATGGGGCATATGGCCCCACTTAGCAAGTTACTGATGGGGGCATATGGCCCCACGCCGCATGTTAAGGATGGGGCATATGGCCCCACGCAGCAAGTTAAGGATTAGGGGTATTATATTGCCCTCGCGTTGATGAGGAAGATGAAAAATTTCAAATTATCACTAGCACTTGAATGCAAACAAATTTACGGCAAACTCAGGTGCACAATGTTAGCTGTCACGCGTATTATTTCATAGAAAATTGTAAGCTATATTCACCGCTCTTTAATAGGTAGGTAAAGTCACGTACGGATCTCACCGGGGAGAGTGTATGAAGTGCTCGCCTCCAACGTAGCTTTGTACAACTCTCCTCCTGTTGGTGGTGAGTGAAGTGGTCTTGTTAACTGTTATAGAAGTGACCTTGCCTAGCATCTCGCAGGTGTGCCAGTCACGGACAAGGTTGTTAAACTTCACCATTCTTCATGTAAGTATTATAAAACGTCAATAAATTTGTCATGTAAAATAAAAACGAAATGACATCATATAAAGAAACAACGGAAAACTGAAGAAAATATTAATTCGTTAGTACGTACTGTAAATGAAAAATACTGTAAATGAAATAGACGAGAAAGAAATTAAGTATTTGAAATGGAATATTCCTGGCAATATTTGAAGCGAAAAGAAGAATAACTTAAAAAATGTTTATCATATTTGCTCCGATTTATAACTGATAACATTCTTGATTATCGTCACCGAGAAGGCCTTTATCTCACTACGTCACTACGTTGGAGAGCATAAAGAACAACAGACCTTAACCGAGGAGGCAGAAGACAATGCAACGGCAACAGGAAGTCCGGCCGGCGAAGACGCGACGAAGACAGTCACGCCGGCGGTAAAAAACTGGACGAAGTTGAGGGCGTAGTAGCCGCTCCATTCCTTCTTCTCGACGGCAAATTTCTCAATGAAGAATCGGATTACGAGGATGACCACCGTCAAGGCCGCGACCGAAGAGCCTGTCGAAAGCAACATTGCCCGAAGAGAAGAAAATGTCATGTGCAGGCAGATTAAGATTATCAGAAATAGTTTATAAAGCACATTTTTCGATAAGTAAATCGCTGTGGCAAGCAAAAACGTCCATAAAAATCGTGAGACATTGAACCTTCGATTAAAAAGTTATCCCCAAAAAAGACCGGTATCATAAACTTTAACACCACGGATGAAAAATTCGTAATGGATTAACTAAATCAAAAATGATGAAAAATAACGTTTACAGTAACTTGCACGCAATATTTTCAAACTCAAATTAGAATGGCTTCAGAAAAAATTTTTGAATAAATTACCGAAATATTGAAATTGAACGATTATGTTTCCAGCTAAATTTCGAACGTCTTAAAACTATTAAAAATTTCTAATGAAAGAATTTGATCCTGATAAAGTGTTTTGAGTTTGATATTGAATGAACTAACCGATGATGAGGATTCTTTTCGGGATTTTGGCGATCTTTGCACTAAGAACATTCTCGTTCTCCATACAGAGGACTCTAACGCCCGACGCTTTCTCTCGCGTCTGAATCGGCATTCTCATCGCCGCCTTCTTTCTCCTCCTATTCAGTCTTCACATCTCTGTTTGCTCTTCCTGCTAAATCAGCCGTCTCATCGCCGCCTTCTCTCTCGTCTGAATCAGCCTTCTCATTACCGCATTTCCCGTGGCCCCTTCACTCTAAAAAGTAACCAGTAACCCAAGCAGCCGAGCTGGTGGCTTTTAAAACGGATTATTAAAACCGAATCATCTAATACCTCTATTGAAAATAAAAAATAACTGTATAGAATGGAATTTCATGCAACAACGTATTTCTATAAGTTTAAATGAAGTGTGAAAAAAACACAAAATCAAAAATAGGTGATACGTTTCCCATTTTGTTTCCATTTTACAAGGACGAACTACAACTGCAAGCTAATATAGATAGAAACTTCTGGTAGCATTTTGTAATGAAGTGCTCTACAAATTTCCCACCACTGACTATCAGGCCGCAAAGATTAAGTACGCCCAGCTGTGACGTGGGTGTTAAATTGATTTTGACCGTCAGATAAGCTGTTGATCCCGACTTGCGTACTGGTTCCACTCTTACAGGATCTTTGCTCATACGCCAGGGTGAGTTGCGTTCGATTTGGCAAGATGTGGATACTTCGTGATATATCGTGATTTATGTGAATATAATGGGTTGTCATGTGTAGGTATTTACTTTTATTTCTGTTGTGGGATCGCCCGTTTATTCTCAAAACTCCGTGCTTTAGCTCTCTCCTCGCAATTTAGCTCTATCCGCGTATCCGCGTATAAATTCACGTACAGGGATCGCAGTGGTATCGTTGGAAAGCTCAGAATGTCAGCTTTAAGATGAGAGTAACTAAAGCGCAACTCAATCAGACACTATATTTAAAATGCTCAGCAGCTAATTACCTTGTATCTAATTAGTGAAGGAGCTCCAACACCCGCCCCCCTTTAAAGAGCCGTCCTGTACGTATAAATTCACGTACAGGGATCGCAGTGGTATCGTTGGATAGGGCAGAATGTCAGCTTTTAGATGATACTAAATACCAGAGAAGCCAAATATCCGAAATTTAGGGATACCTCCCCCTTAAAACATTAGGGCCATAATTTATCTTCATCTTCTTGTCAGTTTCTAAGCACTCAAATGGGAGCCAAAGTTTCTAACCTTCAACAATGATGCTTTTCTAGACGATGTTTGAGTATCCAAGTGCGAAGCGTGTTGCCGGTTCAGTGCACAAAATATGTTGACCTTCAAGGAAACGGTAAAAATTTGTGAAAATCTTGAGAGGACCGGGAACGTGCGGTTTATCAAGCCTGCTGTCGTCAGAGATTTAGAACCACATGTAAAGCAGCAATTCGTTTGATTTGCGAAAAGTTTGTTCAGATTTCCAGAGTTTTCTCTAAGTCTGATATTTATACAATACATTCTGAATTGACATAAATGAGAATTTTGTCACTCGAGTTTCCATTAAATTCTGTGATCGACAGCTCCTATCTGTGGCATAAAAAGAGCATTGAAAGAATGGGCCACGAGTCTTTTAAAATAATTGCTAAATTTAGTGAAATTAATCAATGAAATAAAGGTTTAACTAAATAATTAAATTAATAGATCTGATTTACTCAAGCTTACTATTATTTTTCCCTGCAAATACTTCTACCATGAAAATATGTTATCTTCAATTGTCGTTCATGATTCTTGGGCAATTGATAAGGCATTCCATGATCTGTTAGCCATTTAGCGTGAATGATTCATTTAGGAATTTTTGCTGCTTCCTATGAATCTCAGAATCATCAAAGTTCTGCCTCATTAACATACAAAGTGAATAGAAAATATTCTTATTTAATAACCATTCAAATTTAGACATCTATTTGTTTAAATTGTCCTTGTGCCTACGATCTTATAGAGTTTTACTAGAATAGAAACTCATACATATCCCTAATATATGTTTACAGTTGAAGCTCCTCAACTCATCACAATTCCTATAATTATTGTATCTCACATTTGACCAGTAAGGCAGCCCCATTGCCATTGGAGAACCGTCAATCCAGCGCCACTGTCCCTCTAAGACTTTATCCGAGCCACCGATCCAATATCCATAAGGACTGTAGCCTTGTCATGTGAAGAGAGGTGAAAACATAAACAACTAAAACGAAATTTGAATTATCACATATAAACAAGTGGTAAGTTAGCTTGGTGTTGCCTGGGATCTATAATTCTTGCAATTTTCGAATCGTTATCCCGAATCCCCTTAGTAATATTAAAAACAATGTATTATAATTGATCTAAGAAAGATATTTCAAAATTGACATAAAACATCTTACATAGAAAGTAGAACTCGTATTTCACACTATTGATATGCATTTAACGAATGCGATAACTTTTGATACCAATATTGATTATCAGAGTTCGTTTTTTTTAAGCTTAGCTGGGGTAGCAATCTAAAAGAGCTGTTGGGGCGCGTATCCAGGATACTTAACGCGTCGTGATATTGTACGTTCATAGGGGCTGTTGAGGTGCGTATCCAGGATACTTATTGTGTCGGGATAGTTTATATTAGGGGCCGTTGGGATGCGTTTACAGGATACTTATCGTGTCGGAATATTTTGTATAGAGGCTGTTGGGGTGCATATCCAGTTTACTTATCGTGTCGGGATATTGTATATAGGGATTGTTGGGGCGCATATCCAGTTTACCTATCGTGTCGGGATATTGTATATATATAAGGGCTGCTGGGATGCGTACCCAGGATGCGGGTCGTGTCGTGATATTAGTTAGCAATTCAAAGGTATGGAAAATCATTTCAAATTATGATTGAGTATAAAGAAATGCTCTGAGGGAACCTTTAGTTTAGTTTGGTTTCAAACGTTAGTAAAACTTGGATATTTGCGTCGCGAACTTGAACTTTCTTATGCTGTTTTACTATTATATTAATATTGTTGAGTCGTACGCAGGTAAATGGCAGAAATGCAAAAACCGCATGTAGCATTGCTCCGACATGCAGAATGTAATAGGTCGTTAAGGACACCATTCAACTTTATAAGCAAGATACGTTAAAGTCCTCTGGAATCTGATTTTGTTTGTGGTTACCTTGCTCCATGAGGTATTTGATAACCTTGCTGTACTGTTCGCAGTCATCTAGAATTATCAAATCTCCTCCTGTTGACCCACACGCGGTGCGTGCATCGGTAAAGTTGTAACTTGTTGGCAGAAGGTGAACGCACTGCGTGCCTACCAGGTCGTATGGAACAGCGCACAAACCTGCAGGTAACGAAAAGTTGATGGGATGTCAATGAAAATGACCATAAATAGAACTATTATTTTTTAAGCATTCCAAAAAGTTTTCACGGCAAGTTTCCAATTTTGGTGATGGTACAAGGTACTACATCAAAATAAGACAGATATATCGAGTGAAGAATTTCCTGATGAAAGCATGTGTAGACTTGCACTAACTAATCAATTTAAATATTGAAACAAAATTGATAATAATCCTTTTTATTTTTGGCCCAGGCTTGAAACTAGCATCGAAATTCATTCATAAACTATGATGACATGCCATTTCAGGTTATTCATTTGATTGCTGCCAGGGAAACACTGTTCTGAAACAGCTCTCACCATCCGTTGGAGATCTTGAGCACACTGGGGAAGCATCGCGGCCTGAAAGTGTGCAAGCTGCGTCATTCAGTAGCCAGCCCATAGAGGGTCTAATCATAGCGCAGTCTTCACCAGTTCCGTAATTGTCGGGCTGTGTCCTCCCATCAGCTGGCGCGTTCTGGGAGAACACCACTCTAATACCATAACCAAATCCAGCAGGTACTTAAATACTATATTTTTGAAGAACGTTGCAGCGAATTTGATGCTAACTAAAGACAACGTAGTTATTTTGAAAGTATTTCTGAGGGCAAATCCGTTCTTAATTCAGCAACATAAATACCATAATGGACATATGTTTAGCGACTTCCGGAAAGAACATTGCATAAACATGGAAATGGAAAAAGAGAACGTAACTGGGAAAATTGTGTAATTTTACAGTCTTCCAGTCATGTTGCTTTGCAAGCCTTCAAAGTTTGATGTTTCTTGATGTCTTGTCATTATTTCATATATTAGTTTGTATCACACAATCCAGATTTCATTGAATTCGTGACACTCATCAAGTCACTCACCAAAGCCCATGATCAATTGCATGTTTGAGGCCAGCATTTCCCAATACCGTTTTCACTTTCATATTCTTCCAGTGCGCAAGTATTCAACTGGCTAACATTTGAACATTTAACGCCCAGCTTTCAAAATTCGCTAAGTGAACGTAAATACTTACGCTCTATTTTCTTGTCTATGATTGGTGGATTTTGCTTGGAAGGCTGGCAATGATTGGCTGATGAACTTACGATCTCTTAACTTTTTTTGAAAGTATAGGCCCAGATGTACCGTACGGTCTTCTTTCAAATACGCTCCGTAATACTATTTTCATGGTAAAGAATTGGCGCTAGTTGTTTCGAACGTTTTTGGTACGCGTCCCTGCTTTGTTTGGTGGTGCAACTCTGCTCTCTGCCACCACCTACGCAGTACAGCGCTGATCTTGTAGGGAATTTGTGGGGCCATTAAAAAAATTGGTAGTTAAAGGGTAAGTGATTGGAGCCATAGGCACCTAGGCACCGTAAGCCGTCAGCCACAGCTCGTGCATATATACCGTGTCATGATTAAAATTTCAAATTATTTTAAAGTGGAGAGGTGAGATTTTTTTCTTTATAATTAATGTAAGCGGTGCTGCCTATAAAAGTGGTGTTGCTTGAGGTCAATTGGAACCATTATTACTTCAAAGTGAGTGAGAGTCCATGGTGAAATTCTACTATATATATATATATATAGTGATCAAAGGTACTTGTGGGCATAGTCTTTAAGGCATCTACACCCCAGCATGCGTCTTCTTCCACACATGTCCCGACTCGTCACCCAAACAAACCTTTCCGGACCTAACCCAACCACATTGGCAGCAGAAAGAGGGAGAAGCGGGGCAAGTGTGGGGGTAGGCGCATGCTGAGGTGTAGATGCCGTGAAGACTATACTGGTTGGAGTAGTGGCTGCCGGGACACAGCTCCCCGAGGCTTCAAGCCATCGCAGTACTGGAATGGCATGCGGTGTTTCTAGGGTGGTCTGCGACTTCGTAGCTCTGAGGCTGACTGGCTGACTTTAGCTGAGCATGTTTATGCGGAGCGTTTGCTAGAAAGCTTGTTTACGAATCAAAATTGTGGCCGACGGCTGCGCACCAAAGCCCAGTACGGAGCGCCCATCTGCACGGCTGTGCCGTCGTTCCACTGCCAGACGCTGGTAGCCGACGAGTTGGTGGCGCCCAGCCAGTAGCCGTTGATGGCGTCCGCTGAGACTAACGAAACACATCGGTATAAACAGGAGTTGCCTTATAAATCAAACTCAAGCACGGATTGTGTAATTTGGTGATAATTCAGAGTAAGTAGTAGTAAATTAGTATTATTAATACCTATTGTGGAACCATATCACACTGTCGATGACCACTGATATAACAGTTATGAGGGTCTGAAGACTTGCGTGTTCCTTTAAGAATGTAGCTATAAAATGCATAATTAAAGTCCAATTGATGAATTGGACTTTTTGCGGTTCCTTCTATACCAGGTAAATAACTCGGTTCAATGGGAAATCAATGCTTCTATCAAGCTATACAACTCACATCCATCGTCGACATAAGTGGCAACATCAATGAAGGAAGCGCAGTCGTGCAGCACAGGCAGCCTGCCGAAGTTCTGGCGGCAGTAAGCCACCGCGTCGTCGTGCGTGAGGTAACCACCAGGCAGGCGGTGGATGCACTTGGACCCAACGACCTCGTAGCCAGCGGGGCACTCGATTGCCGCTGCGCCTGTCGTATTGGACGAGAAATTAGACGTCGCAATAGATTCATAATTTTATTGCTAATTTCACGAATTATTTCAGAATATATTGAGTGAGACAATTTTATATATGATGGAAGGTACAAAAATTTCCCAAGAATCTCACAAACATAGGGAATCTCGTAAATTATTCAACATAGAAAATAAATCATTAGATAAGCTTTAAGCTTTAAAATTGCATAGACATGTACACATAAAACTTGGTTAAAATTTACTAAGAGCAAAATATAGCTGTGTTCGTCAATATAATTTCAATGAGTTGAACAATTTAAATTTGACATATCCCAACATATTTATATTCTAACGAGCATGCGCAGATGTCATAAGAATTAAGCTATGTTCTCGAAATACTATTTCAGCAAGAGTTCTACATCCTTTCTGCCAATGATCAATAATTTAAGAAGTTTTAATCTATGTATGTACCTAACTTTTTGATCGTTACAATTCCTCGCTTGTTCGTGCCATTTTATTCTGTATTTTAGGATTTGCTATGGATATTAAGCAAAGGTGCTTATGCTTTTCACTGCTACGTTAGTTAAGCCAAATAATATAAGTGCCAGTATTAATTTAATTGCAAAAAAAAAACGAAACAGTTGAAACATGCAACCAAAATTATCAAATCTGCGTCACAATTAATCCTAGCAACATATAGCTAACGCCAAACCAACTGAAAATATACAACAGCGAAGAAACAATTCAAAGGTATGTTCATATTACAAGGGAGTACGTCCCAGGGCACGTAATATTCCTATATGAAGGCTCGTATTAGGTATGCGTGATACTCATTACCTGAGGATGATACTCACCTGCGACAAATAACAACACGCAGACGATGACGACAATACATGTGACACGTAACAACAGACAGATAATGAAGAGGATACCTGTGACAAGTAACAACAGACAAACGACCAAGATGATACTAACCTGAGATAATTAAGGGGACCGACCTTAGGACCGAATAACTTCTACAGTTATTATCCGATCATCATGAAACTTCACATACATACTTAAAATGTAAAAAGAAAAACATTTTGCTCGTATAAATTTTTCGAAAAAATTGATAGAAAACGTGAAATTCATAGAAAACGGCTAAAAAGGGGTACTTTAGAAAATCTATCTCCTCCCACAAATATCATCCTACAACATCGAGACACGTATCATTCGATTCGTAAAGACCATATCTATCGACTCTAACATCACTTTTTTCATTTTCCACCTAGTTTTTTTT